GGGGCTAAGGGTGGTTTTCCCCCGTGGGGGCTCTTCAAGCTAAGAAGTTTCAATAAGAAATCCTTCCAAAACATTGTTTTTGACAGTGTTTTTCCAATGTTTCCAGTCAAACAGACGGTAATTTACACGTTTTTTGCCATAAAGGCAGTAAATCCTTCCAAAACATTGCTTTTGACAGTGTTTTTGTAATGTTTCCAGTCAAGCATACGGTAATTTACACGTTTTTTGCTATAACGTCAGTCCAAAACACTTGTTTTTGCAGTGTTTTCAATGCTCTGGCATCCAAAAACCCTGCAAAATCTTGCTATGTACAATGTTTTTTTCATTTTTGGCCGTTTTTCCATTGCCGGAAAGCTACCAAAATGACCCAAAATTCCATTTCAATACCCTCTTGCGCTCAGACACCCAAAAATCCTCGAAAAATGTCGAAAACACCACCGTATTCTGGTCTCGGTGCGAAACCGTTTTTGGGGTCTGGTCTCGGTGCGAAACCGTTTTTGGGCCCCCCCCCCAGCTAAAGCTGATATAGCGACTGCTATATTAACAAATGTCATTGAGCATTTAGTGTTGCTGTTGCCCCCCAATAAGCACGCCTTCACCGCCAAAGCGGTGTGGGCGGATTCTTTGTTATGACATGATTAGTAATTTTGTTACAGTTATCTAGAATCCCCATAGACCTGACTATCAATATATATATATATATACATATATATAATCATTATAATCATTATAATCATATATTTTGTTCTACCCATTCATTCCCATAGATTTGGTCGCAAAATTCCCGAGGTCGGTGTCTTCGTGGCCGAAGTTTTGCTGCGCATCGTCGCGAAGAGGCCGCGCGCCTGGCTTTTTTTGGTCCCTTTTCGACGGGAAAAGACACACGGTGCTGCCCCAGTTCGTTAGCTAAGTTGGTAAACATATGCAAAACTACTCTCAAAATAATTAGGGTTTATGTGGGTTATATCTATAGCTGTTGGGGGTTGCAAGCTAACTTATTGTCCGTATCTGGGCTTGTCGGAAAATTTCGGGGAAAAAACAAAATCCAATGGTCTAGAAACTGAAGTAAATCGTTGTTGACCCTGAAGTAAATCAAATCAGCAGTTTTTGTTTCAAGAGAAAATTGTCTCTGAAGGCAGGATTGTGTTGCCTGCCAGGTTTGACTAGGGTAAAATAGCAAGCAAGAAAGGGGAAAAGTTCAAAAAATCTGGACCACATTTGTTTGATTTGTTGGGGGGTCCACGCAAATTCAAGTATCACCAGTCCCAGCCCATTTTAGGTTAGATTTCATCCTTGGCATCGACTGGAAATGGAACATCTTCGACCTGGGTCTAGTCGGGATCCTGAGAAACTCTCGCAAGGATGCAAGCCTGACGCCAACATGCTGACTGTTAGTGAGTCCGTTCGACATTCGGTTGGTTCTACTTTGATTTTACTCCTTGCGCCCAGATTCATCTTTGGTCGCCATTTGATATGGTTGCCTACTGCAAACTGATGCCCCAAATTACTTCATAGGACATGCTGAATGTAGGCGCCAAACATCTCCTGTACCGTCTAAGAGATGGATGGCTTGCAGTTGTGAGTTGATGGGATAGAGTTTGCCTCAAAAGAATGGGCAAAATCAAAGTAGGCGAGGCTTGGATGTTTTCACAATCAGCAATGGCATGTGTGGTTACATTATCATTTAAGACATGTTTCGAAGGTTATCATGATAAACCCATCAATTAAATGCTTCAGAATCATGGTATTGTTCAAGACCAGCCAAGGTGGAGACATCCTTGTCTTCTGAATCGAAAATGATTCGTGAAATACGGAGAGTTTATGGGTTTCAGAATTTTTTTTGGACATTGATGGATCCTGTTTCCCATCACGAATCTGAATTATGATGACGCATCTCTCTGCATGGACTGCACTTGATGAAGTCTCCTGGCTATCGCTGCCAAATCCTGCAATGTCCACGGTTTCTTCTCAAGCAGACAAGGATTCGGGATTGATCCTCACAATGTCCAAGTGATCTGATTTTCATCCTTGAACACTTTGGGTAGAATCAAGAGTGATGGGTGTATGATTGCATTGCATACCAAGGAAGTGTATATTATATATAATGTATAATATATCATATATCATATATCATATATAATATATACTATATGATTTATAGGATATATAATATATGTATATATACTTCACGAGTAAGAGTCATTTATCCATGAATGGCAACAAATCTACAGCCTCCCATCAGTTTACACCTGCATCAGGCCACCTACTCCGTGGTCGAGGAGCTTTTTATGCTGAAGCCCGTTTGGTCGATGATTGTAAGGAATTCTACTATATGGGGGATTATCATAATCCATGTAGGTGTGTCTGAATTCTGATGAGATCAGATGAGGCAGAAACCTATCAGGTTACAACATCGAATTGTCAGTATGGCCCACCTGGCCCACCTGTCGAGGAATTGCTCAGCGGATTTAGTATGGCATCCCAGGGTCCAGTTTGTGGTCAATGGGGGCTATTCCAAATCATGCCAAATGGGGGTAACCCAACAATAAACCAAACAAGTGGGGATGGTTTGATTATTATCCCAGAATTATCCCATTATTATCCCAAAGATTATTATTCTCCCAAAAATTATGGTTTGATTATTATCCCACTATCCCAAAAATCTGTCCATATTCTCCCAGAGATACCACAGAGCTTACCCCAAGGCCTGACCTACACCCGCCTCTTGCGCGGCTTCCGCATGGTGCGGGTGCTGTTGGGCCCTCGGATCCCACGGCATCGGATGGCACTTGAAAAAAACATGTCATCCATGTAGCTGTTCATGGGAAAATCAAGTAAAAATGGTGGAATTATGAATTCAATTTTGATAATCAAAGATTGATTACTTGAGGTTTTCTCATCCATCGTTGATAGATTTCTACCGGACCGAGCGAGGCGAGTGATTCGGGTGATGCGACTCTTCAGGGAACTGCGTCTCATGGTGTGTTCCATTATCCAGCCACTTGGCAATGGAAAGTCAGAAAAATTGACGGCAAAAAATGGGCGAATTTGGAGTTTCATGTCAATTGAAAAATTGAAATTTGAAATTTGAGACTTGCGGCAACTCCATGAAAAAAATGATTGAAACCTGTGTCAATATTAGTTTCTATGGCCCCAAGTCCATGAATCGGAGACATTTAGACATGGAGAGAGCTTCGGTTGTGTGTCATGGGCATCAGGCCAACTGCCACACTCGAATGGGCTTGGAACCTTTATAATTGCAGCTATAAGTGGGTAAGCAGGAGTCCGCTTGGAAGTTGGAGTTGGTATTGAAGTAGCATACCTTACAGACAATATTTGGTGTGAGAACGGCATATTTTCGCACAATCTCTCACATGTATCTTCCGCCGGAATCGCTGTCTCCAAGGTCAATGGTTTCCCTCTCCTGGGCCTTGATGCTTTTGCTGATCATCATGTGAGCCAAACCGGGCTGGATCTTGGCGTTCTTCGGCGTCTTTTTCCACTCCATTTTTGACCCATGGTGTCCAACTAGCTGACGATGGATGGTCACTAACCTGCTTCTGGCTGCCTGTAGTGCTCTTAAGGTCGAAGGGCGACAGGATGTCAATTCAATCCTAGTTGTCCAGGTATCTTTTCGCCATCATCTTCATGCACGCAGCAACATTGTCAGAGTCTCAGAGTGGTCCGAGCAGTCAATCTGAAGGTTGTGTCTCAAGAGGCTATTATGCCACATGGCTTATGAAGGCAAGGTGGTGCGTTTCTAGGCATTTTGCGAATGATTTGGATGCTTCATATCTGGGAAGGAGTCCAGCCACATTTAGACACTTCCCTTGCTGTCGACAAATCCTACAACTTCCCCAGTTTTCGATCTGGAAACATCCCGAGTACCAAGTCATGCTAAGTTTAACCACTCCTACAACTCTTTGCAGTGCGCTCACCACTACTAACCATTACCTTACCCCCAAAGAGAGACTGGTTCAAATCACCACAGCCGAGAGTCTCATGCTCTCATCAGGTACGTCCAAGAGAAAGAAGCTCAGCACGACGTGCGAGACGCTCTCCAGGCGGGGCTTGTTCAACACACCGCAGCTGTGCAGCTGTGCAGCTTAGCCCTGCGCATCGCCATCGCAGGGCTGGTTCGGTTCGGTTGGAGTCCCAGCGTTCCACTGACCTCCACTGACCTCCACTGACCCACTGACCCACTGATCAAGGGGGTGGCTGCGAAATGAGATGTCCTCAACATTGACCAACTGGCAAGGAAATTATATCAATCTAGATAACATATGATAACAATTGACAGCATTATAGTCTATGATTATTCATGATGATCTATGAATCTATGATGTATATTGATGTGTGCTCTGTTGGATTTCATCATTCTGCATCACCTAAAGTCCTCCAAGGTTGGGAGATCCATGTATTCGCTGCTGCTGGCAGTCACTGGAGGTGCTGGACGCTTCCACGGGAAACGATGGTTTGATGTTTGGTTTGATGGTTGGTTGAGGTAATCCAATTTGTAATCCAAGGATCCAAGGCATGAAACTGCCTTCGATCCCGTCATTGGATCTCCCTTCGAACCTTAGTTTGGTATGGCCTTCCCCACAGAGATGGACTGAGACATCGGATGCAACTCAGCACTAGGTGAGGATTGGTTTCAAATCGTGGAACCTTTGGGCCACATCTCCGACTTCTACTTAGCTCGCCACCCAGCACCAAATGCTGGGAGATGCTGGGAGCTTGACAAAAGTCCTATTCCATGCGCCATGCACCAGTTTTGTTTTGGCTCTACAGACACATGTTCAACATGTTCATACATTTTGCTTGCTTGTGCCTCCATGCAAAGAATCCAGTTTCCAGCTACAGGATGGAGCTCCTGTCAGTACTGCAGGTATTGACCAGGTGGAACAAGAGTGCCAATCTATCCAACTGCACCTCAACTATCCTCAACTTGGGTGCATCTCCACATTTTGGAAGCCCTCAAATAGCTTGAAATTGTGGCCATGTTACAACGGAGCAACGGCACGTTCTCCTGTGAGGTCCATTCCTTCCCCCGCTCAGATGGGGTCATCCCTCCTGGGCCCTTCCTCCGCGAAGAGGTTCTGTTCGCCTTCTATGTGCTCTTCGTAGTGATCGGAGTGACCCATAGACCATCATGGACCACTGACGCAGCCAGTGTTCGTGTGAAGCTTCACTAGAACCCTAAACACCCCCCCTCCGGGCTCGATTTCGAATGATCTCTATACATGACTTTTCACTATGTCGTATCATCGCGTCTCCTATGATCTCAACCGATCTTTTTTCCTATCTATCTTCCATCGCATCTTGTGTCGTCTCATTTCATCTCATCTTATCATATCTCTTCCCATCGTGTCTCGTCATGACTCATCTCATTTCATCTCGTCTTATCTCATCTCGAGGCATCTCATCCAATCATGTCTCATCATGTCTCATCCGATTTCATCATGTCTCATCCGATTTCATCATGTCTCACTATGTATCATCATGTCTTATAATGTCTCACCTTGTCTCTTCAGGTCTCATCATGTCTCATCATGTCTCATCATTCCTGATCATGTCTCATCATGTTTCATGGTATCTCATCATGTCTCATCATGTCTCATCATGTCCCATTATGTTTCATCATGTCTCATCATGTTCATGGTGTCTCATCATGTCTCATCATCTTTCATGATGTCTCATCATGTCTCATCATGTCCCATTATGTTTCATCATGTCTCATCATATCTATTCTCAATGTATCTCATCATATATCTCATCATATCTTGTGTGGTCTCGTGTTATCACACCCCTTCAGTCACATCCCATCCCATAGCACTCATATTTTCTCCTCTCTTATCATCTGCCATCATTTTTCACAGTCATCCCGGATCCCGCTTCTTCAACCCAGTGAAAAACCACTACCCCATTGCATAGCTTTCGTCCACCCCCCTTGGGCCGTGAAGTCTTGCAATATCAGACCGTTCCTTTCCAGGTACTGAACGTTCTAACCTCTGCTTTTGCAGCACACTCAGCTGTGGACTGGAACCCAACATCAGGTTCCGACAAAGCGAGAATTGGTGGATCGAAGTCATGTTGAACTGATGAACTGTTACTGAACCATCACAAATACATCCTGGTGGTGTTTTTGAATCGTCACAATCAATTTCTATATAGTTTTGAATTCAGATCATGATCACAAAAAATCACTCATGGTGGATTGGAATCCAGTGTCATGACAGCAAAAATGTGTTGTGTCTTGGTCTTCGGACTCTTTTGAGGTTGCCCTTAGAGTCCAACAAATATGCAACATGTTTGGGTTGACCTTCGCCATAAATCTCCAGGTTTTGGGTGGCTTAGGTGCAACGTGCCTGTGAGCTGTCACGCTTGGATCGCGACCTGGTGCGCCGGGATTTTGACACGTTGAGCAACGTCGAAGCGTAAAAACACCATGCAGAGGAGGACGTTTTGATGATGGAATTTCGATGAAATTGATGTTTAACCATGATGAGTCCAGAAAAAAGAGAAACATGAAAATTGCGTTAATGATGGATGTCAATGTATGTGCTGTTCCCAAACTTTGGAAGGAGAGCTGTAGTAGAGGGCATTGTCTTTGTTTGGAAGATGAACCAATTTCATGAATTTCACTTCCTCGTGAAATCCTCCAGCGGCTGGTTCCATGGAACTTACCCCTCCATTTGGTGGTACATATGCTAGTATATACCTATATATACCTCCAAAATCAAAATGTGCCGGGCAGTTAAACAGGTTAAACATTAGGCAATTTTATACACATGGTCATAATATGGTCCATCATCCGCACTGAGTGCTATGGGAGGCGATCCAGTCCGAGCTAGTCTCTGATGAGTGCAGCGCTGATTTGTCAATGGTTGGGAGGAGCCACGGAACGTGATTTCATGTGATTTCACGTGTTTTTCCAGTGAGATTTGATGGTTCATGTTGGTATAGAAAATGCCTTAAGACATCGGAGCGTCATTTACTGAGGTCCTTCACCGCGGAAATGAAAAGCATCTTCGAGGAGGCGGCAAAAAGGGAATAAAAGGGAAGTGTTTCAATCTCTCCTAGATGTTGATATATGTTGATATAAGCATATAATATATATATATAAGCCATGATTTTTTGTGTCATGTTTAATCTCCGAATCTCCGATTTTTTTGACCATATTGAAACTTCAACAAGCAACGCCAAAGAGGGTTGGGGGAGATCACTGCCGCCGGCAGGTGGACATCGAAGGCACCGGCTGTATCGACTGGGAGCAGTTCCGGTCCTTCATCCACAACGAACATGTGCCTTGGTGGGGGATACGACTAATGGCTGAGATCTGGGATTGTGGTGAAATCAAGGTCTATGTTTGCAGACTTGTGCCGATAGTTTGATGTCGACCACAACTAATCAAAACAACAGTCTGAACGGAATTTCAGTCCAGGATTCTGAGCTAAGCTGCGCTTCATTTTTTGAATAACCTTAGCCATTCAAAACACCCCTCATCGGCCGTAAGAGGGGGCTATAATATTTATACAAATATATTTATACATATATAGAATATATATATATATACATATATATATATATATATGCTAACCATGACATGCACGATGTTTATACATGCATATACTCATTGATCTAATTGGTTTCAGGATAATTAGCACCATCCGGAATCCTGACCAGCTAAAGGGAGATAGGGGTCACCTTCCAGGTTCAAGCGTACTTCGCCACGCAGCAGTTGGACACTTCGGATGCCCGGGAACTCTTCAACTTGTTGGATCAGGATGGTGATGATGAGGTGCCCCGGCTTGAAGGTGAGGGAAAACTATGGTGATCAATGGAAAACTGGTTTGTTGTACTGATTTTATTTGGATGTGCTTGATATTGTAATGTAGGCTTAAGATATCCAGTGTGTTTCTTAGGGCTGCACTTGCACTGTGATGTGACTTGAATGTGATGTTTGAACCTGACCTCGCTCCGACCATAGAAAACTTGGGGGTTCACAAGCCGCTACAGATGCGGAAACATAAAGGCTGGCACCCTCCTAGTGTGAAAATCTGTTTGCGAAGCGCAAAAATGTAAGAGCAAAAAGAGAATATGTTTGCGTTGAATAGTTTGTTTCGATGATCGCTTATACAAGCAATTGACTCTTTGTAGAATGTGTCAAAATCTGTACATCTATTGAACATGGAAGTGCGCACAAGTGGGGTTGAGATGATAAATCAATTCATATGAGGGTGTCCACACAATGAAGACATGAAACAGAGAGAGCTCCCATGAGCAGCAGCGAAAGCAACGATGTTCAATCGAAGTGCAGGAAGTTAGCAATACAAAGTCTCGGCAAGTATCCATGGAAAGGAAACAGCCATCCTTTAAACAAGGTGGTGGCAGCAACGTGAGGTGTAGGGCTAAGTATATAGTCGAAAGGTTGTCCCTAAGTCACCAAAGTACAGGAACGGTTCGGTGTTTTGGTACTAGATCTTGTAATTTGTTGTAAAACATCATGCTGCATATTCACCCCGCTTCGCGTGGGGTGGCCGCCCACACCGCAGGTTTATTTCGGTCCGTGAGAGGGGCTAAGGGTGGTTTTCCCCCGTGGGGGCTCCCCAAGCTAAGAATTTTCACTTTCCCCCCCTCGTGGGGGCTCCCCAAGCTAGGGAATTTTCACTTTTCCCCCCCGTGAGGGCTCCCCAAGCTAGAGAATTTTCACTTTTCCCCCCTGTGGGGGCTCCCCAAGCTAGGGAATTTTCACTTTTCCCCCCCGTGGGGGCTTCTCAAGCTATGGAATTTTCACTTTCCCCCCCGTGGGGGCTCCCCAAGCTAGGGAATTTTCACTTTTCCCCCCCGTGGGGGCTTCCCAAGCTAGGAAATTTTCACTTTTCCCCGCCGTGACAGCTTCCCAAGCTATGGAATTTTCACTTTTCCCTCCCTTGGAGGCTCTCCAAGCTGCGGAATTTCAAATAGCTAGACAACGACGCCTAGATAGTCCCCCAAATCCCGTGTTCTTTGAATGTGTTTCCATGTTTTTGCAATGGTTTCCTTCAAAGCACGGTACTTTACACTTTTGTCGCCATAAAACCGGTCGAAAACATCATGTTCGACAATGCTTCCAATTCCCTTATCTCCCCAACCGTTGAAAATACCGCTATTTACAGTGTTTTCTTCAATTTTTCCATGTGCCAATGCCGGTAGCCAACTCCAACATATATATAAGAAATCCTTCCAAAACATTGTTTTTGACAGTGTTTTTCCAATGTTTCCAGTCAAACAGACGGTAATTTACACGTTTTTTGCCATAAAGGCAGTAAATCCTTCCAAAACATTGCTTTTGACAGTGTTTTTGTAATGTTTCCAGTCAAACATACGGTAATTTACACGTTTTTTGCTATAACGTCAGTCCAAAACACTTGTTTTTGCAGTGTTTTCAATGCTCTGGCATCCAAAAACCCTGCAAAATCTTGCTATGTACAATGTTTTTTTTCATTTTTGGCCGTTTTTCCATTGCCGGAAAGCTACCAAAATGACCCAAAATTCCATTTCAATACCCTCTTGCGCTCAGACACCCAAAAATCCTCGAAAAATGTCGAAAACACCACCGTATTCTGGTCTCGGTGCGAAACCGTTTTTTGGCCCCCCCCCAGCTAAAGCTGATATGGCGACTGCTATATTAACAAATGTCATTGAGCATTTAGTGTTGCTGTTGCCCCCCAATAAGCACGCCTTCACCGCCAAAGCGGTGTGGGCGGATTTTCACAGGTCTAAGCTTCATTTTGTTTGCCAAAGGAATGTCAAAGTCCACAAAACTCCAACTCTTTTTGTGCTACGTTCGTCATTGCATGTAGCAAGTCAAATGTCAATCGGCCACTCTTGGTGTCCATCCCAGAAGCTTGATACTTGAACCGGCCCCTCTTGTACGAAGTTGGAGGAAACCTGAGGAAACCTGAGGAAACCTGAGGAAACCTGAGGAAACCTGAGGAAACCTGAGGAAACCTGAGGAAACCTGAGGAAACCAGTGACTTTGAAGTTGTCGAAATTGATTCAGGATGTTGTCGAAATGGTGGTTTTTGATCTTGTGTCCGACAGGTTTGTATCGAAGAATTCATCTTGGGATGCAAAAAACTCCGGGGCCAGGCGCGCTTGGGGATCTTGGGGTGTGAGGATGTTTTGAAGCTGGGCGTTTCCCACTGAAATTGTAGCTGTAGTTCCAAAAGATTCATTACATGTTTGCAAAGAATCCCAGACGGTGTTCAATAGCGGACATGGACCAAGATGTTTATTTCGTATTCAAGGGAAGTCTTTGTGAAGGCTTCAGTGAGGTTTAGGACTGTTTTGTATCGCAATGCAGGTCACCTTGAACGACCCGGCTCAAATCAATGAATCAAAGAGTTGTCTCAACAGAACAGAGTTGTTTGAAAAGCCCAAAGTTGTGTTTTCCCCTTTCTGATCTACCATCACCCGGTACGTTGCATAGCCAGGCAAAAAGTTCAGACGTCGCCACGTTGCTGCGCGAGAACAAGACCCGGGGGGACGTGACCAGATTGGGAGATTGGGCCGGGCTGTTCGAACCAATCATCAGATCGGTGCCAGATCGGTGCCAGAGTGGATGTCAAAAATGTGCAAAAAGATCAGAGTATTATATAGATTTATATAGTATTATTACATGATGTTATCATGATGTCATCATGATGTTACATGTTGCCTTGGAGTGAGCTGGCAAAGAATTCCTGGGTTCTCACTTAGTCTCACTGGCAAGAAAAATCGATGGAGAATGTCGGAGCCGCCCTGTCCAAGGACATTGATCGAAATGTTATCATTCTGTGGGAGCAACCCCGTCAGCTTCATGACCGAAAGTCCACACTGTTGAAAACTAATGATGTGTCATACCTAATCATACCTGTGTGCAATCTGTGGCATGAGCAACAAAAATATCAGACTGCATGAACTAGTTGGATCTCTCAAGCTGCTATGCGTTGAGCCTGAATGGATCCATGAATCCCTGAACATGTCCGAACACGCAGTAATTAAGATTATTAAGATTCCATCCCATCCTCCAGTTCTGTTTTTCCTTTTGCCGACAGTGAAAATGCAGGAAGTTCAACAACAAGTCCATGAAGGCGATACGAAAAGTAGAGGACACCGTTGTTGATGTTGGCCCCGTGGCACAATGTGCATCCTCGAGTCCGAAAGGAGATGTGTTCATCAAAGATCTCAGGTGTTTGATCATCATCCAATAGCTACAAAGAATCCAAAAAGTCAAAAACGCAAGCCACATGTGCCACATGCATTGCAGATCATTGCAGATCATTGCAGATCATTGCACCACAAATCCTGTGGCTTTCGGTTCCAATGGTCGCGATGGACTCCCCAGGATCGCTTGGCCGCCATCTGCACCGGCTTCCAGGGCTTGGGCATCGTGTAGCAACCTCAGTTTCTGTTCATGGATTCACTATGTTTCGCTAAATGTTCAAACGAGTCCAGATGTGTTGAATGCATAGGGTGTAGTTCAGGCATCTCCCCAACACCCTTCCGCACGGGATATATTTGGTGCATGGCCTTTCTAACTTAATGGCAAATTGTTGCACAGGTAAACCTTCGGAGAGGTGTCCATATCCGAATTGTTGCACTTACTGGTTGAATTTTGGTTTCCAACGTCGGTTCTAGGATTCTAGGCCATTTCTGCGTGGAATCGGCCCAAGTGCACCATTCCTGACCTCCAGGATTCCCGACGAAGCCCGTTGGATGGGTTCTCCAACCAGTTGTCGCTCCTGCTACATGGCAGCAGTATGCAGCAGTTCAGCAAATCGAGCAAGGTTTTTTTCGTGTTTTAAAATCGTGAGCTTTTTTTCGATTCTGGTTGACAAGAAATTGAAATAAAATGGTTGATCACTCGATATCGGGGGATTCTACATCCAAATTCGAAATCCTGAGATTCTGTGAATTTCCTACCGCTACATGACACCTTAGAGCCATGTATCTTGATTGGCTTCAATGGGACGAACATGGATGGGATAACAGGATAACCATTGGAGAATCATCACATCATTGGATAACCATCGGATATCAATGATATCAAAATATATCAAATGCTTACTGGATCTTTGCCGCCCAGATGCACGCAGCGTCCTCTCCAGATCACGCCCGGAGTCCTGGGAAGCGCGAACGGCGAACTCCACATGTCATCAGCCTAACTGTATTCAAGATCTTTGGTGATCTGAAAGTACACCCCAGGATAGTTCCCCTTTCAAGATGCACCAACAAAAGGATTTCAGTTCTGTCACCATTTGCTGCGAAAATAGACGGGCCATTACATAACATTACAATACATTACATATCTGCAAGGTACACTTGCATCCATGTGATTTCTTCACATGGGAAACACTTGTGAGCATGATCAAATCACATCTACAGCTTACATGCTAAAGACTATGACTATGACATTATTTTCTCCATGCCAAGTGTCACAGGCTTCAAAGTCTGTGACCTTGCTGTGGAGGCTCGCGAGCGACGCGAGGAAGGTCGGTCCGACCCTTGGATGTGTCATTGTCATACCAAGATGCTCGGCATTCAGGGTGATTCTAAGATCGAGAATACTTAGAAGCTCCTTCCTTCTGGTGAGAGTACAAGATGCAACAGGTTTGAAAATCCAGTTGATATGGTCCAAGGTTTGCCTTTGCAAATTTTGAGTGTCCAATGTGTCCGGATCCACAGTTGATGGCCACTTCCTCTCCTTCAGGTCGACGATTTGGACCAAGGGTGTGGGGCTCAGCAAACTCGCAATAGGTGCGCCGCTTCTGCCACTTTTCTTCAACTCAGAAACTGACATCGTGAATTGTCCAGCCATTGAGGCTACAGTAGGCAAAGGTATTACAATATATTGAAATGATAATTAGTTAATGAGAACTTAATGACTAGTAATGAGTACAACGAATCCAGGGGGAGATGTCCCATCAGCCATGCTAGTTCAATCTCCATATGGGGAGCAGGGGTTCAACTCATGCTTCCATGTAAAGCTTTCTTGTTTCGGAACCACTCATGAACTTCCTGCGTTCGAGGATTACACTCTAACACACTTTGGCTGAGCTCCTGAGCAAAGAGCGAGAGCGAGGAATGGCATCTGGGTGCTGTTGGCTATCGCTTATCGAAGGGCTCTGTCCCACGAGCAGTTCGCTGGCTTAAAAGCCAAGTCTATGGAGAAGTTTTCTCTGACGTAAAATCATCGTTGGAATGCAACACATCAAATGAATCTGCGAGGTGTTGTACCTGCCTCATACCCAGTGCATTTTGTGCATTTTCAATCATTTTAAAATCATTTTCATCTTTAGCCCCTATCCCATCATTTCAGTCACTTTCATAGGGTGAGTTTTTCCCTGATAAATGGTCATTTTGGACGTCTTGCAGCTAGACGTCGCCTGAAGCACCACCCAGCTCATTGTGGGGAACTGAGGGTTGGCTAGTCAGGGGATGCAGCTGATTGCAGAACCGCAAAATTCAATGGAACGTCTCCAGAAGATCAAACTGGCATCCAGAAGTGTTCGGATTTGCACGAAATTCGACTAGCCAAGTGCACAAACGCACTGGCCACCAGCCGATGGAGTTTGGAAAAACCACAAGGTGACGATCCAGCAGGGTTTGGATCGGAAAGATAATGGTGGAGCAGAGTCGAGGTCAATGATGTAGTAACTTTGGGTGATACCCCCATGGAAAGCCAAGAAGGAAAGTTTGTAAGATTGTTTTCCTGCTGCTAGTTGCGGGGAGGTCCGTCTTTGACCTCCACCGTCGATTTTTCGTATGTCATGGTTCAGCCACAACTGTACTCCTTCAATGATCCCAGGTGAAGCCCAGTTGTAACATCTCCTGTCACCGTGGCATTCGCCCAAGACCCCATCCTTACAGTAGAAACATGTAGAAACCTCTTCTCGCTGTGCCTCGTCGGCGCCTGACTCAGTCAGCGGCTGCGAGAGGTGGCACAGCTGCCGGCGCCGGGCCAACCGAGCTGTGTGCCATGAATTTGTCCTTGGGATCAACATCCATATGATCGATTCATGATCGCTGTTTTGCACCAGAGTTTGGAAAAGGCCAATTTTTAGGGGGGTCCCTTTTGATATTCTCATTGTTCTATTTACCTTGGATTACTTTGGGACTGTGTTTGTGTGTGCTTATACATGTTTGTCAAAAGCAAAACTGTTCTAATATGATTTGTGGAGCAAGCTCTGAGCGATACACTTTTCTTTGCATCCAGGAAGATGATCACAATTCCCTCTGTGGTCAAGCTGGCCCCCAAAATCATCCAGACACTCAAAAAACAAGGTACCCAAGAAAATTGCTCGTTAATAATCATGTTCCCTATTAAATGGATAAGAAATGATAAGAAGGTATACCCCATTTTGAGACACACCCAAATGGTTCATGGTTCAGACTTTTGGCCTCCTTGCTGCCGGTGGAATTTGGTGAGCAATTTTCCCACAACTCGCGGCATTCCCTTGGCCCCCAGAGGCCCTTGCCGTGAACACCAGGAATGCAGCGCGTTGCATTGCGAATTCATTGACCGTTGACCCGGACGCAGAGACGAACGACTTGGCTTGGAGAAACCAGATGCAATGGCAACTAGTTACAAATCCACAAAACCAGTAAGGTTGTTTTTGACCGTGGAAAGTTTGAGAGTCTTAATCCTCGCTCTTTGACCTAGCTCTAGAATCTCTAGACATCACAGAGCGACTCAGTGATGCTGCAGCTGGGACACTGGACAATCCACCCCGGACGCATTGGTCCAAGTGTATAGACACCCCAACGCCCCTCAAGGGGGAAGTGGTGACCAAGCAGCATGGGGGGTGGGTGTGGCAAGGAGCTATCCCCAGAGAAACATGAGCGATTGGATGATTCGATGATAATGATACTGAGAACGATACATGGTCAGATGATAATGGGAATGAGAACAACGATGATTAAAACATATTAAAACAATGAATTCTATTGGATATTGGTGTGTGCCTTTGTGCTTTCCCATGTTGCTCCGAAGCCCTACCGTACTCAGCGAGTAGATGGGGAATACCAGCAACTCCACGGGTAAGACACAGCTTTCGGATGGACCAGCGACACCCACCCCTAGTGGCACAACCGTGAAGGCCGCCAAAGAGCCAAAGAAATCCCTGGGACGCGTCGAAGACGTGCTCCGCTGCGACTTTTGGTTTGGACAATGCATGGAGAGCTGCCGGGTCTCATCGCCTGTGCTTCGGCCGAATTCTTATTGATCCAGACTGGCCAAATCCAAGTGGTTCCCCATTGAAAATGCGGGTGAATATGGTTGAATAGTCTAGATGGTTTTAATCAACAGTAAAGTAGATATTCCAAAACTGAGGATTGGGCCTCCCAAAGAGTCCATTTCAGAGGAACAGTGACCTCGCCGACCCACCATGACCCAAAGTTGGATCAACCCATCAGGTCAGATCAGGTCAGATGTCAACAGGATTTCAGGTTGACAGATCTGGTCATGTCGGGCTGGACCCGGGAACCCAAACCAAGCGTGCTTCGATTCGCAGCAGGATCTTACCCATCGCCTCGGCCAAAAAGGGGTTTCCATTCCAACTGTCGTTTTCTCCCAGACAGTTGATGAAGAATGGACCGTTCTCACCAGCGCTCACCAGGTTAACTGGCAGCTGAGCACAGCTGGATTCAAAAAATGAAACAACCAAACTTGTGGGTAGATTCTCAAAATTCCCCGGTTGATGGATTAGTTTCCATATGGTACTGCATGTACTGCAATCCGTGACGTTTCGTGACATCATCGCCAGCTCCTGAACCAAGAGCGGCCGAACATGCTCGTTCGGTGCCCCCAGCTGGAAGGGATTGTCCTGGTATGGCAACGTATGGCAAGGTCTGGCAAGGTATGGCAAGGTTTAGGGTTGTTTTTTGTTGTTTTTTGTTGTTTTTTGTTGTTTTTTGTTGTTTTCTGTAGCCACCCCTACCGGGATCATGCGGGATCTCGGGGCCTCAGTTTCGTGGTGCGGGAAAGACCCTGAGCCAGATGCAGGAGGGGCAAACATCACGAAAAAGTGGACTCATCATCTCACCTAGATCCTAAAGGTCCTAAAGCTTACTTGACAAGTGCCCTTCGAAATCAGTTTTGGATGAAAACTTGGAACAGTAAAGGGGCAATACTGCGTTGATGCCAAACTGTCACTGAAGGCCGTCCCTCGATTTCGAGCCTCGCCGGTTTTTGAATCTAGCTCTCCTAACCAATCCGGAGAACAGTTCAGCAGCTCGCGATGTTTGTCCAAGGCTATGCCTTCAGATTTGCAGCAGAAAATCTTGTTGGCGGTAGATCAATTGCAGGCTGGATGGTTCAGTGGGTCGACAAGGATTGGTCTTGATTCCAGTCAATATTGAGTCAATATATGTCAATATTGTGACCTCATTTTGGTATATTTTGGTCACTTTTGGGCAGCTAACTGGCTTGATCAGTATAGATTGCCGGCTGAGCGTGTGTCCGGGTCAAGCTTGCTGATGTGAGGGTGAACTCTAAGTTGGGTCCCAAGTAAATCCCAATACATTAGATATTAGGATCCCGCAGATTCGTTGTTTTTTCGGTGTTTTTGGTCCTGCAACTTGTGATTCACGTCATACTGTTCAACATGTAATTGGATTTTGACACCGAGAGGCGGATGATTTGGGTGTTGGTCCAGAGATCTTGCAGCATCCTGGATTGAAGGCGCAGCGGGACATTGATCCATTGGATTCCTTTGCCGTTGGATTCTGATCAGAGCAGCACCTGCCACCTTCATGGGTTGAATGTCTTTGGAACTATCGTAGCATTGGTAGCGTCAGTTCAGATTGCCCTCGGCAATCTATGGGCGACACATTGGATCGAAATCTATGTTCTGGTCAGGTTACGATTTCTGAGCAGCAAGGCAGCCACAGGTACCCAGTTTCCATGACATGCCAGAAATTCCCTCGGTGCTTCAGGTGGGCTATATCGCTTGGGTCCCCAGCCACTGTTTCTGCTTCCACTTCACCACAGGGCCCCAACATGGGCCCCATAGGTATGTCGTCCTGTCGTCCCCTGAGGATATCTTAGGATGCCGTGTTGAAACTGGGATGTCAGGATGTGGAGCAGACGCCAGAGTACACGCTCTGCATGTCGGAAGCCCAGGAAGCCCAAGCTGCAGTTCAGTGAAGATTGACCCACATAATTATTAAGGGGCTGTGCGCTATCCAACAATTGAAAGAAACAGTTGATTTTAACGTCATCAGCTCCAAAGATTGGCAGTTTTCAATGTGTGGCATCCAAAGGAATTGTATTGCTACAGGGTTCAAATAGATGTGTCCCTAGCGCTCCCTGGGGAGCAAAGATAGAGATCAAGCTTATCTCACAATGTCAATCCAGATGACAATCAGCACAATGTCAGGTTTGCGATCAAGAAAGGAGCTCACATTCCGCATGGAGCACCCAGAGCGCCCAGCTGCTTCAGCACTTGACAATCTATTCATGTGAAGGGAAGCTGCTTCCAGACTCTATCTGACGAAATATGGGTATGGATGATTTGGGATGGCCAACTGTTGAAAAAAAAAAGGCCCCAAAACATCAACCGAAGGAGGTGACATGATGAATGGTCAATTTCGTGTTTGGGTCACAACGTCATGGTCATGGATGTTGTCGCGCGTGGTTCCTGCTCAGGCTGCATGATCACCCGCAGATGTATGCAGGGATCCCAAAAGAGTGACAATGGTCTCGGAGTGCAGATTCTGTACCTGCTGGTCTTTTGTTGGGTTCAGCGAAGTTCAGTCCCAAACGCAACTTTTGTTGGCAGAGTGAAGACCAGGCGAGAGCAAATCCATGGTCTCCTGAGGTCTTCGGCCGGCTCCTGTTCGGCGTGATGAGAGTTGTCTCGGTACCCCTTCCCGTGCCTTTCTGCCAGGGCGGCCGCGCTCAAGATCACATGAGTTTTTCATAGTTTTCATCCAAAATTTGGTGGTGTACTTGCAAGGCATTGCAAAGCCGAGTTGGCATTGCTTATCAAGACACATACCTAGCCGACCTAGCCATAAATTCCATTTTTCACAGCACATGACAAGGCCATATCATTCAGTCTCTTTCAGTCCGCTGTGGCTCCAGTCAACACAGAGATCAGAACATCATATTTTGATGCGCACATCACATTGTAAGACAGCAAGACTTTCCGGTAATTCAATCTTACATTATCTCTAGATGTCTCTAGTTTCCAGAAGTATCATGGTGCTGGTTCCATTTTGACACCTTTGAGACGTGACGCAAACGCGTCCCGCCTGACAGAAACCATGATGGGGAAAGGACTGCTCCGTGGTAGCGGATGCCACGGTGGGGAATAAAGTCAACTGATCCAACCGATCCATGAATTTCAAGGGCTGGCAGCTGAGCCTAAGTGCAAACTTCCAGTCTGAAAGACTTGAATCTGTGAAGTCCAAGTTGATCTCCCAGCATGCCCACCTCACCTTGAAACTGCCCATGTTTTGTCACTTTGAGCCCTGCATATCCCTATTTGAAACACTATTGATCCCATTTGTAATTTGGGGTTGTTTGAAGCGATGTGCTACACTGCCACGGCTACAGGATACGTCCCCTCCGCACTTTGGAGGTGCTGGGAAATATCTCAATGATCCTCAATGTACAATGATAAAAAATGATAATCTGATCATATAATATACCATATATATATCCATATATGTATATATATATACATATGTATATATATATACATATAATAATAAACGTGTATATATATATATACCTCGTATATTACACCTTTCATGTCATAGAAACACACTCGTATCAGCTCGTATCAGATACCTCTATATTTTGTCATGGTTGGAGTTCATGTTTTCTGTCGAGTAAGCCTGCATTTGTACTTGATGCTGTATTTGAGTGGAGACTTCCAGCGATCCGCATTGTCCAGTTTGGCCACACAGGTGCGTGACTTTGCTAAGCAAAGCTCTCAGATATCTGGCACATAGCATGTCAGGGTCCATTGCACACTTCACCTTTGGGAGTTCTGCCAGTTGATGATTAGACCTTTTGCGTCTTTCAAATTCTTTCAATCTGCATTTGTCTGCATTTTTCCTCAGGTTTTTGCACTCTGCTGAATGCCAAAGAGAAAAAAACAGGAGTGGAGCTTGGGCACGGCGGCCCAGATTTGCCGGAGTCCGGAGGGAGAGCTGTGCCTTGTTTAAGGACTGACAGGGATGACTTGATTACTACGATTGCACAAATTTGAGTACCTGGGGATGGGTCAAAACCCTGGTACCTAGTGAACCCCAAAATAGCTGGTAAATGGATGTTCATCCCACTAAAAATGGGATTAATAGGTATTGATCCATCCCCATTTGAGTACCTCTATGCGGCCCACACTCCACTGACCAAATCCGGTTGAGGCCTCGCGAACCCGGTGATGCCTGCGGCTCAGAGAGGGAAGATCAAAGTCTAGCAGCTCTAGCAGCTTCTTGTTTTGGACAGCATTTCTTAGCACCGCACAAGTGAGTCAGCTGAGAGAGGTAACCTCCTGTGGTATGTGCAGGAACACAAGCATAGAGAAGTGCGCGCATAATTTGAAGCTGGCACACCCAGAAAGACTGATCATATGATATCATATGATCATATCCCCTCCCTTTCAGCAGACCACCCCTCGTGGTCGGGAACCGTGCTCAGCCCAAATACTGGCTTCACCTCAAGAGCATCGCCTTCAGTGAGGCGCTGGGTAGCCAGGCTGCCTTTCCCTCTGAAGTCTTCCTGGACACCCTAACTATCACTGACTATCAAAGGGAACCCTGAACACATCTGAACACCTTTAAACCAAATTCAAAGTGGATCCAGTTGCTGAGGAGGGGCTAAGTGTCCTCCGAGCCTCCTTGGTATGTCGAATGCAATGGGTGCAAAAGGGTTCGGCGTCCCTGATTTATTTTAACTCTGATTTGCCTGGTGTGTTGGGTGCCTACAGCTGCACAGATGCAAAAACTATCACGATGACCTCCAAAATTAAAGTTGATGTTGAAATCACTTCTATATAGCGGCCAAGTACCTGAGTTGAACTATGTTACTCTCCGCGGTTGTAAACATTTGGAACAAGACATGAACGAAGTCAGCAGAATGGGTTGTATGCATCGCAGCCAATGGTGCAGGGAGAGCTTAACCCTCCCTTCGATGGCAAGCTGAGCGACTTCAGTCTCACCGTGAAAAATCCAGGTGTCAGGACACCTTCTACGCCATAAAAGCACTCCCTTTGCAGATTCTCTTTAAATTGGAAGGCAGAGTGGATGTTTCCATGATTTTTCCAGGCTCAGAAGTCTTGGAATATACCGTTGATACACTGGTTGATGGATGAAGACTGGAGCCATTTACATTCAAGAAGTTAAGAAGCCAAAATGTGGCCCGCAGCCCTTGAATGAGAAAGAAACAAGACAAACAGCCAATGAACTGAAAATGATCCTGTGTTGCATGATGTTGCATGTGGAGTTGGTTGGCTTCGCTTTTGGGGCAACAAAACTGATTCCCAGGATTCAAAAGGCTTGTTTGAGTTGGCATGTCTCAGGAACTGAAGACCGATGTGTGACCAAACGCAAACGGATTCACTGGGGGATTTTTCAAGTACTTCTGCGAGGAGTTTTACGATGACAATTAGTTGGGCTTCCCAGTCAGGCTGTTCATCATTGCCTGTGGACGCCCCACCATAGCTGTTTTTGGCAGGGAAAGATTCCGAGCTGAGAACAGGTGGGTGAAAAGTACGTTAAACACGTAGTCACGTTTTTGCATCTCATTTTGTTACTCTCCGACCAGTGTGTGTTCCAAGGTCTTGACCTTCAGCACTACGACTTGCTTCACCTGCCAAAGATTTGGGTCGGAAGCTGAAGACGTAGTACATATTTTGGGATTATTTTGGAGGTTGCCAGATCGGTGAACATTTACCGAGCAAACCTCAGGTTGATGGAAAGGTCCTGAAGTACAGCCCACTGGATCCCATTGAGATCCCTGTGCCCTGGATGGAATGGTTCAGACTGGCACTTGCTCCAAATAAACGCCAATGTTTTCTCCGAACTATGCCGATGTTTGCCAAGACGTGATTTCAGCCATGTCCAGCTTCAGCTTCACTCAGCTTCACCCAGCACAACCAGAACCAAAACAGCCAAAACAGCCAAAACAGCCCAGATCTTCGTGAACGACACGATTGCAGCCTTGGATCGAACAGTGTCAATCACCCTGGAGGATCCATCAGGCCAGGCTCCGAGAGTCACCAACCAGGAGGTTTTGGGCTATGACATGTACATCATGTACTGTGTGAACCTGATGCACTGTGTATTGAAACATCCTGAAATGGAAGAGTTCAGTAAACAAACTGTGGGCAGGACGGGAGTTGTTTGGGGACAGCGAACCCGAAGGTTTGTTCATGGCATGCTAAGCTCGTGTCCGGAGTGGACGATTCCATGCAAGAACCATTCCCCCTTTGGCCCATTGCGTGGCAAGTCCAACAAGGGAAGCATTGAATATACAATATATACATGAATGTACATGAATGTACTCTGTTACCTATTGCATTTTATCACATTTTATTACATCTATTGCTATTCGTCAGGAATTCAGATTGGAAGCGAATCCTCCCGAAAATGTGACCCGTCAGATCTGAGCGCCTTCGAGCTGCAGCCGAGCTGAAAAAAATACCCTGCCTAGCTCTGGACGTCGATCTGCATAGGATACATATCCCGTTATCCCCTCGGATGAAACCCCGACCATGTGCACCATTGGTGGTATCGCCTCACTTCCCCAGGCAAAAAGTTTGGTGGTTTCCTTGGCGTTGGTGGCAAGACCAGGGTGGCAAAGGGCGGTGGGATTGGCAGGTCACGTTCTCGTTGGTTCAGTTGTTACCTGCGACCCTGTTGCGATATCCGAAAATTGACTGATATTTTGTTCTAGCCAACCACCAGACTTAGATGTGATAGGTTTTGAAGGCCCAATGGCCCAACGATTTTTCTCTGAAAATTTACTAGGAATCTATAGAAATCCATTGAGCTATTGGAGACTTCAAGATGCTTAGTGGCCAATGTGAAAGATCCCACAGGTTGGCAGGCCGATGATTCAGAGTCTTAAAAGCTACAACGAGGTCAAGACAGTCGCCCACTTCTCCTGGGAACCTTGGTGCCCTTCTTTGGCCAATTGAAATCAAAGAAAGCGAAAACAAAACATACATCTATGACATCTAAAACAATCTGAGAGAATCTACGTTTGGACCATAATGGTTTCCATTGACAGCTGCGAAGCTGCAGTCACGGGACTATCACATCCGATGCTTGCAACCGCCCGAATTTCAAAAAGTTCGGGAGCCAAGATTTGCAACTTTTGAATCTTGAGAATCCTGGGAAGTAGCAGATTCACAGTTTCGGACCACCCCATGACTTTGGTTCTTCCAGTTATGGCGATCCGGTGTGGAACTCTGGTGAGGTTGTGACGATTAACAAAATCAAGGCATTGGACGGGTTGTGACTGGGAAATTTGGAGGGATTGGCGCGACCTGTGGCAAACATCGCAAGAATCGCAACAATAACAATAGTAATAATAGATAATAATAGATGATATTAGTAATGACGCAAATACCAATAAAAGTAATGAAAAACAAGAACAAGAGTGGCAGATGGTCTATGATACAATCATATTTGGGGTTTTCCACTCACAAGCTTCCTCAGTGCAACAGGTATTCACCTCTTCTACCCTGGAAGTGACCTTTCATCCAATCTCATCTCTCTTCCACTGGGAGATCTGCAGGTGAAGAATGACAAGAACGAGTACTTGAAACCAGACAAGGTCCGAACGAAACTTTTTACTAGCCTGGCAAAAGAATGTTTTTCATGTTTTGTCTAAGAATTTGCAGTTTCCTCCAGGTGTTTGTTCTCCACTCAATCTTTTGATCAAGACCTACAGGGAACTGTAGCAGAACAAGACTCAAAGATCTTGGCAATGACGCAGTTGCCCAAAGCTCGGGACCTGTCAGGATCCAGATTTGGAGACCGGGCAATATTGGTAGCAACCTCATTTACAGAGAAGCTGTGGCACAGATTTTTAAGACTTGCTGTAGCTCATATTAGCTCTCCTTCGGCAGGTGTGACACAGGTATGCTTTAAAATTGTTCAACCTGAAAAGTCAACCCTAGCGAAACATCCGGCCTCCTTGGGTGCCTCATTTCTTTGCCAATCTGCCATTCATTTCAGCTATTTAAGGAGAACCCCCACAAGGAAGCTCAGTGGGCCAAGGTACACCATTCCTTCAACATCCAAAGGAGCCTACTTGCAGGCAAGACTGGTCAGAAAATGGGCATGGGTCAAGATTGAACCCTTCAACTTAGCGACTTAGCCAATCCTGAACGCTCCAATTTAAGGGGAGGCAATTCACTCCTAATAGGCGATTAAAACCCGTGTTCTGTCTTCATCTCTTGTGGGTTGTTGGATCACCAGGCACCTGTGGGCAGTGCATTTGGGGGTATCCCAAGCAGTATGGGAGTAGCTCTACGGCAACCAATGATTTCAATTCGGAAACACTCAAACCTTGCGAGACTTGAGTTCATTTGAGCTGGCCGAGATTCTGTATTTCATATTAGTTCATATTAGTTCATGTTATTTCATATTGTGTAATAATGTGTAATATATTTCACACACACATGGCCATCCCCACAGAAGTTTCGTTTCGGGTTCCGGGCTTCTGGGGTTCCGCCCGACAGGCCACTTGTGGGAAGTACGCCAGCTCGATGACGGTGAACGGCAAACCCGTGAACTCAGGCGCTTTTCGGATCGGCGGATCGGCGGATCGAATCAAGCCTGGAACATGGCGATGGCAACCTGGAAACACAACGGAAACACAACGGAAACACTGGAAAGGCATTGATGAAGATCCTATAGATATCTATAGATCCTATATGATCCTATTCATTCTCTCACCCCATCCTGTCCCATCCATCTAGTAAATTCAGGTTACATATCCGGTTCAATGGCATATGACACCCAGAATAGAGAAAAATAGAAGTCGTTCACTTGCCAGTTCGATGCTGCAATGGGTGGGACATGGTTTGAGGTATGACGTGGTCCCTGCCAGGTTCAGACTATTGGATCGATATGCGGGAACCCCATGTCTTTACCTCAGCCTGATCCAAGGAGGAAAGCTGCCAAAGGTTTTCTCATTCCATGTCTTAAAAGTGGTGCAAAAACCATCCAGAACCCCCAATTTGTGGCAAGTTGTGGAATAGGTCCCACAGTCAACGAACAGATTTAGGGGTAGCCCGGGTAGCCCAATTTACAAATCCGCGGCGTGGAGGTCACATGGCTGGTGGAGTGTCGCTATGAAGACAGCATGTCGCCTTCTCAGAGAATCCGCATCACACTCTGCATTGGTTTACTGCGAAAATCGACACGAGGTGTTTGTCAGACCGAGTCAGACCCAATGTTGCAACACTTTAGGTTCAACCAGTGAAGTGAAGTGCAAAGGTTTCTTCGCTTGTTGTTGTTTTTTTGTTCAATTCAGGTGGACCCAAAGTGCCGTGGCCCGATCATATCAGGCCAGTGGAGAGCCCATCAGTGCCGGGGTCGGACCTGGAATATCGAAGCCCTTCAAATGGCTTTTTTCGCGAGCAACGTGGTTCGTTGGGAATAAGGGATTTCTAAAACACAAGGTATGACCCTGACCCCGTCCTTGTTGGTAGCAGTTGGGAAGGAACTTTGGCATTCAGGCGCTGTGTGTAGCTTTGTGGTAGGTTAAAACTAATCAGGAAAAAAAAAGAAATCAAATTTCTGAGATGACCCAGGAACGGAGTTCGTCGGAGTTCGTCGGGGTTCGTCGGGGCCGAATTTGCTACGTGAAAATGTTGTTGCCAAAGTGGAAACACTGGTTATAAAAATGCAATTTTACTTTCTGCGTGCTGTTTTTCCATGCGTTTTAGAGGCGAAAACGTCAAAACACACGTAGGAAATGTTTGGACATCTTTGCGCGCAAGGTTAAGTTCGTCGGAGTTTGTCGGACTTAAAGTTTTACAGACTGCGTAAAGATCTTTACCAAACGTGTCACGAATATTCTTTCCAAGGCCAGATTGAAACTGGAAATTCTTATTGTTCTGCTGGTCCACCTGGTTCAGTCTTATGCATTTCGGCAGACCTTATTCCCTACGAACCCGCATGCTCGCGAAAAAACCCACCTTCAAAGACGCGCCAAACAGCCAGGGTTTTTACCACTTGTTGGTCTTGTTGGTCTTGTTGAAGCTGCATCAGTGATGGATTACAGTGGCCCAGAGATAGAACTAGTGGATTCCTCAGTATTCACCGCGGTCTCAACAGTGAGCATTGAACTTGTGTTGGTCCATGATCAGTGCGGGACCCCTACAGACTTTCGAAGTTCGGTTGGTATTTCCAGCCTCAGGTTCACGTCTCCCACCTGATGGACCGGGGCCGGATGCAAGACTTGTCATGTTTGAAAACCCACAGATGTTGTGATCTGTTTCTAGACTCCATTTGAAAATAGCAATATCCATGCAGTTGCCATTCTTGATGCAACTTCTAAATGGTTGGTATTGCAACCTCTTCATGACGCAGACCGGGAACCCAAGATAACCCAAGATAAACCAAGTCATTTGTTCCATGTCAGAGACTTGGAAGTATTGTGTAGAATCACAGGAATAGTGAACGGAAAAACACTACGAGTGAAACAGGTCAGACAAGGGAAGACACACCACCACATCAAGTCTTATGTCTTCGATTCTTTTTTGCTTGGCAGGACAAGTTCAGTCGGCCACATGTCCGTTTGATGCACACCTGGCTCGTGCTTAATATCGGGGGGAGTCACCCGAAGCACCAAAATTGTGCCAATTTGGAATCGGCACAGATCAATTGCAAGAAGCAGGAGTTTGCCAGCATTGGCATGTTTTTTGCGGTCTTTTGGAGCTCAACTTCAGGCTAAGGGATCTCAGCCCAAAAACACGGCAACTATGCAGAGCTACTTAGCAGAGTCCGCATTTGAGTCAGAGAGGAAAACCCAAAGGATAGATTTAGGCGCACTGTCTCTCCAGTGAGCTTTGAGCAATATATCTATGCACATCCAGCAAACAGCTGATGTAGAGTTCTTGGACTGAGCCCATGTCGTGACTTGTGGTCGTTTCAATGTCTTTTGCCAGTCGACCTCGAGGAAGATTTAGCCGTAATCATATTCATTCATATTATACATATCTATGTATATATATATATAGACACGCCATACTTACATTATATAATGTGCATATATATATATATAGATATAGATATATGTGTGTGTGTATTATCTTATGATATACATATACATACACGATTACATACATAAGTAGATGGGTATATATATATACTCTGATTTGCTGGTCGCTGGACACCTACCTTGATGTTCCACGCCAGGCCACAAGATGGGCAGTGTGGTGAGGTACCGATGATGCTTTCTGGTTGGGTCGACCATAGCTATTGGCCACTGTTAGTAGGAAATCATTAAAGAGGCACCGAATTCTGACCCACACAAATAGATCAATAGATCTGTATGTACAATGCAGGAGCGATGAATGTAACAGGAGGTCTTCGATTTCTCATCTTACAGCATCAAACGGCCAGCTGCAAAGGATGAAGACGTGGATGGCATTCATTGCCGAGCTGCCAAAAAGAAGAACGTCCGCCTCATTGCAACGTGCTTTCGGCATGCATTTTCTGTGCCTGTCTCTTTGGGCGAGATCGAACAGATACTGTACCAAGCATGAAAGTTCATCGAGTTGATTTTGGAAGTTCACCACAAAGCCATGCAGAAAGACCTTGATGACATTGTATACTTTGAGCGGAATACAAATATGAGAAATTGATCGAAACGGGTTGAAGATGTTTCTTATTTGTATACATATGTGTACATATATATATAGCATTATGTAGTTTTGTACTGTCAAGTCCGCTGCTTCTGTGACAATGTTTTTTTGGCAGGTTCGAAGAGACTTCTGTCAAAGCCCAAGCAAATTGGAGATCTTTGCACGATACGGGTCGACTTGACCACCAATAGATAGCCTGTAGCCACTGTAGCCTGAGGTGTTGAGACTCAACGACAGGTCAGGGAGTAGAATCAAATTGAATCAAATTACCTTGTTTTTTCTTTCCACAGAGACCCAGTGTGCCGAGTTACATGGTGTAGTTAGTGTAGTTGCACGCAACCCACAAAGTGCTGCAGATGGGCCGCAGCTGCGGCTACTGAGGTGGTTGTGTTCTTGGAAACCGGCACGAAATCCATCCATCTCATGAGCGGCATTCCCACAACGGTGGGGCAGGGGCCATGGGAAGCGTTTAGCGATGATTTGGCAGGACCTGCCATGTTTTTTTCCAGTAGATCTTAGCCGTGGATGACTGGATTGACCTCCATTTTTGTGGAACCGGTGGCTGGCTGACCGCTGACCTCAATCAGGCGCATGTTTGATGTATATTCATAGTCATCCCATAGTCATCCCATAGTCATCCCATAGTCATCCCATAGTCATCCCATAGTCATCCCGTAGTCATCCCGTAGTCATCCGCATCAATTATATGTGTCTCTATCAATAGCAAGCAGTTGACATGAAGAGCTGCCCACGCATGGGAAGTGGGAACGCTCAAGGATTGAGAAATATATATACATATATATATATACATAGAGAGAGAGAGAGCGAGAGAGCGAGAGAGATCTTCTTTTCAGTCCCACCTTTCTTTTACAAGGACTAAAGATCCTTGAATCAAATCTGAAAACACCCAAGAGA